CCCCAGAGAAGCCTAAAGACCTTGGACTGAATGAGGCCTTTGGGCCCATCCTAGACAGCATTACGGGGCCACCTTCCTTGGTTACTTGTCTCTTGAATCCCCCAAACACTTCAGTCCTTGAAGCAGAGCTCCCAGAACACGAATACCTCCACCTTGAGCTCCAGAACCAGTTAGGTTTCTGTGAAAAGTGTCAGTCTGCATCTCCAGCTCACAAGTATCACTGAATATTCCTAAGTTCCTTCCCATATCACCCATCCTATATTAGAAGACGGAGCTGCTGAACTGGCCAGAGTAACTTTCCTAACCAAACAAAAATAAAATTAGAAAGTCCTAACCGAAACAAAACACTACTGAAAATATCAATGGGAGTAATGTTTTTCTCCCATGAAAGGCCTTTGCAGGTATACAATTGTGAATACAAAAGTTCGATTTTGTTAACATGGGGCTTAGGGACTTTTTAAGGATTTTGCATGGCCTCTACTGGGTGGTCCTATAGACTCTTCCTATTTGGAGGAATAAAGACCAAGGTCTACCCAAGGGAAGTTTATGGTAGCCTTAGACATACATTTATTTATTTTATTATTTTCTTTTATTTTAAATTTTATTGGGGAATTGGGGGAGGGGAACAGACAAGTTGCTGTCCTTTTGTTCTTCAGTCTAGTTGTGGAGGACACCGCTTCACTGGCCCATGTTGGTATTATCATCATTGCGCTCTTCCCAGGTGAGGCAGATCGGTCACCGACCACTGAACGGCCACTAATGGCAGCTCTTGGCAACTCATGCTGGCTGCCAGCCACTCACGATAGCTTTACGGCAACCCATTGCAGTCTCACTGCAGCCTACGTCATCACTGGCGACTCACAGCAGCCCAGCTCCAGGTCGAGCTGTTGTTCACCATCTTAGCTGTAGAGGGCGCAGCGTCACTGGCCCTAATGTGGGATCCAAACTGGTGGCCCTGCTGCTCAGAGCTGGCATCCCAAGCCAGCTCTTCACAAACGTGCCACTCGGCCGGCCCTAGACATACATTTAAACATCCAAATCTGGCAAATTATTTTCCACGCTTCACTGAGAACTGGTGAATTACAAGAGCCTATTGTTTGACACTACAGGCATCCCCAATCTGTATATCTGAGCCCTTCTGCACATGTCTTATTTCATGAACCAGCAAATAATTTTGGTACTTTCAGGAAAGTATATTTTTCTTACAGCAAACAATATTCATAGACTCTGAGTTGGACGGGACCTAGGAGGTCTTGTGAATGTGAATGTTCACTCTCTGCTTACATATTTCCAGTGACAAGACATTTGATGTTTTCCAAGGGAGCAGAGGCTTGTTATGGAGTAGACAGCAAATTGTCCTCCTGTGCATCCATCCATCCATTCCTTCATTTCTCAGATATTTATTTGTTACTGGATAGGACAATGAAATCACTTCTTCTCTTTGAGGTTACCTCATCAGTTTGATAACTAACTCCCCTGATTACCCCACCTAGAGAACAGAACAAAAGAACAGGCTTCGTAAAAAAGTTAACTTTTTGTTATTACGAAAACAACATGTGATCATTGAAAAACCAGAAAACATGGTTAAAAAAAAACAAAACCATAAATTAAAAACACCCATAATGCCATTTGGGAGACAGAGTCTTAAGTGGTAATTTTCAGACTTCTTTCTTGGTGGGGTAAGCTTTGCCTCACTCCAAATCTCTGTGCAGCTGGACATCTGTTCCCTAAGGAACTACATTCTACACATACTTCTAGTCCAACTTCTCAAGAGGTTCAAGGGTGTGTGGAACACACCATTCTTCCTCCAACTCTTGATCACGTACCAGGAACTCACCTGGGACATAATATGGTGACCTTCGTAGGAGGATCATCAGCCTATCCAAAACTAGTTTATGTGTCCTGAGGGCCTGTCTTCTTCCCTGCCAGGCAAACAATAATTAAAAGCCTGACAGAACTAACTTAGCTTTGTGATTCAAACACACACAAATCACCTTCCTCCCTCTCTCCCATCCCCACTAAGCAACCCCAAACCATTCCTTAGCAAAATGGCTCATACTAACAATAGTAACCCTTACTATTTATCGAGCCCTTACTAATGCCAAGGCAGGTCCAAGCACTATGCAAATTATTGGGTTTTGGGGAAAGTTATGACGCATTTTTGCAATGAAAAACATAGAAACAAATACGTCACGACTTTTCTGACAATCCAATATTTGTCATTTAAGTGTATCTGTTCTGCCTCCTATTAGATGTTACAGGACCAATGATTTGTACCTCTCCCAGAAGGCCTGGTGCCTAACACAAATCCCTACAACTGATGGATGCTCAATAATGCTGTGGATGATGAGCAAAATGTCTACACCCCACTCCAAGATAAGCATTTGAATTCTGTCCTCTGAGGATATTTTTGAAGTAGGAGGTTATTATGAACTCATTGTGGTCTCTGTGGCTGTCAAGAGTAAAAAGAAGGGAAAATTGCATTTGGACACACCTTCTGTACCCACCACTTTCTCCCTTTTCCCAAGTTTTGATGGAAGACACTTCGGAAAGCCAGCAAATGGCAGTGGGGGGCGGGGGGCAGTGTTGGACTGAAGTTGTTGTCAGCCTCCCTTCTGGCTTCCCTACAGAAAGGATGGAGTTCCCTACACCATCCACCACTCATCTACTGGACTCCAGTAGTTGCAAGAGCCTTCCCTTCACCCCCTACCTCCCTCAAGGGTGTGCCTCACACACTCTTTTCCTTCAGTGGTAATGTCTAGGGGCCGTATATGTAAACCTGACACTTAGCGAAGCTACCCTGGCAAGCAGTGAGAAAACATGGAGTAGAAACAACAAACAGATTGGGAGACATAGCTGCCAAAACAAACGCTAAAGGGATGCCTGCCACCACCTCAGCTGGGGCCAGGCCAGGAGTGCAGACAAGAACACATACGTGCAGGGAGACACAGTTCCATCCAGCTCCCTGACAGCTTCCACTCTGCTACTGGGGGGCTCCAGGACAAGGGAGGCTTTCAATCAAGGCTGATAGGGGAATGGGGGGTAGGGGGCGTGTGATAGGGATGTCTCCCATTTTGTCTCTGCAGTCTCCTGCTTTCTAGTTACCCTGAGTGACCCTCCAACCCCCAAACACACCCTGTCTATTCATGAATCCCCTTTGTGTATACCAATCTCTCTGCCAAGTATGCCCTTTCCCTTCTTTCTTGCCTGGCAAACTCCATTAATCCTCCAAAATCCAGGTCAAAGGTGAAACCATCTTGGACTCAACCATGAAGTTAGCCGTTTCCTTCTCCACATTTCTATATCATGGCTACTCTTACTTCTTTATTATTTATTTATTTATTTAATTGGGGAATTGGGTGAATGGGAACAGACAAGTTGCTGTCTTTTTGTTCTTCAGTCTAGTTGTGGAGGACGTTGCTTCACTTGCCCAAGTTGGCACCATCATTGTGTTCTTCCCGGGCGAGGCACATCAGTCACCGGCTTCTGGATGGCTGCTCACTGCGGCTGCTGGCCGCTCACGCTGGCTGCTGGCTACACACAGTAGCCCATGGCAACCCACCTGCCGTCACCGGCGACTCATGGCAGCCCAGCTCCAGGTTGAGCTGTTGTTCAGCATCTTAGCTGTAGAGGGCAGTGTCACTGGCCCTCATATGTGGGATCCGAACTGGGGCCCTCTGGCGTCCCAAGCCAGTTCTTAAACAACACGCCACTTGGCCGGCCCTTACTTCTTTATTTTTTAATAAATTTTATTGGGGGCAGCCAGATGGTTCAGTTGGTTAGTGCGCATGCTCTTAACAAGAAGGTTGCCGGTTTGACTCCCGCATGGGATAGTGGGCTTGGAGCTGAGGGCGCAACTAAGATTGGACAACAACTTGACTTGGAACTGATGGGTTCTGGGGAAAACACACTGTTCCCCAATAAAGTTTTAAAAAAATTTATCGGGGAAGTGTTTTTTTCCAGGACCCATCAGTTCCAAGTCAAGTAGTTGTCTTCAATCTAGTTGTGGAGGGTGCAGTTCCTTGGCCCATGTAGGAATTGAGCTGGCAAATTTGGTGTTTTGAGCCTGTACTCAGAACACCTGAGCTAACCAGCCACCCCTACTCTTACTTCTTATATATCTTCCTCATTCACAAAAACTGTGTATCACCTTCCCAATTAAATGGTGAGTTCTGTGAAGGCAGGGGCCATTTTATATTCATCTTTGTATCCCCAGGGCCCAACCCAGGCCTTGGCTCACAATAGGTACTCAGCATGTTTAGTTATTTGAATGAAGCATTAGTCCTTCTGTAAGGAGTCAGCTTCTTGAGCTGCTGGCAGTCACTCACCCAGCACCAAAGTCCCTCGTCAACAGGAATACTCAAGCCAGAACAGATTTCCGATAAACGAGAATGTTGATTTTCAGAACCCATACCAAACTGCCTCAAGCAAACTAGAGCAAAATTCTGTTATTAACCTTTAAATCACAGACTTTCAAACTTGTGACCACGACTAAAGTAAAAAACACAATCTAGGGCCAGCCAAGTGGCTCAGTTGGTTAAGGCTGGCTTGAGAGCACGAGCTCTGAGAAGCAGGGCCGCCAGTTCGGTTCCCACATGGGCCAGTGACGCTGCGCCCTCTACAGCTAAGATGGTGAACAACAGCTTGATCTGGAGCTGGGCTGCCATGAGTAGCCAGTGACAGCGTAGGCTATAGTGAGGCTGCCATAAAGCTACCGTGAGTGGCTGGCAGCCAGCGAGAGGTGCCGTGAGCGACTGTCCAATTACTGGCAACCAACTGCCTCAGCCGGGAAGAGCACAATGATTGTAATACCAACATGGGCCAGTGAAGCGGTGTCCTCCACAACTAGACTGAAGAACAAAAGGACAGCAAGTTGTCTGTTCCCCTCCCTCAATATAATTTTTAACAAAAAAACCCAACACAATTTACATCATAACTAGTATGTGTGTGTGTGTGTGTGTGTATACCCATTGATAACTGAAAAAGTGCCAACATTACCATTTAAGTTGAACTTTTTCTTTTTTACTTGCTTTTTAAAAGGCTGAATTGATTTCAAGACCCACAAATGGGTTAACATCCACTTTGATAAATATAACTTTAGTTTGATAAACATGAGAAATCAGATCCTTCTACAAATACCCCAAAAAGACATTATCTGTATGCACAGTAATTCGGAGGGGGGCTTCCTTGTCCACTAGCGCAGCCCAGCCAGAAGGGTCTGAAGGGATCTGGACCACAGCTGCTTAGAACAATTGGGGCCCCACAGGACCAGGAAGCAAATAAAGCTGTGTGTCAGTACCTACCACAGAACCTGATACAAAGGAGGCCCCAGTCTTTGTTTCCCTCATCCTTAAACCCTCAACCGGTTCTGTGCTTGGGCACTGCCACCAGAACCTGACTTCTGAGCATACAACTATCCCAGCTGCATTCAGCAGGTGAGAGTATACACCTTATCCATTGGGCTTGCCTCTAAGAAGACAAGAAATTTTAAAGCAAACATTGGGTTGTCAGGCTTCTACATTATACTAAAGTTTGTTTTATGTTACACTGTCCATAGTACAATCTACCCTCTGTGAAGGCAGGAAACATTTGGGTTCCCTACCTGCACCTAAATACTTGTCAAGTGAACTACTCTCCTTTCCAGATATACACAGACTTTACAAAGGGGAGAGGCAGTGGAAGTGGGCTGGCTGGGCACTAACACAATTTGCTACTTTTAATTGTCTAGGACAATGGTTACAGACCACAAAAATTCAGGAAGACCCGCTGCTTGGGTCCAATAAGAGATATATTCCCCCTCTCAATTCAGTCCTTTGGGCTATGAGGCAACAGGCTTTTTCTTACGTGGCTCTGGTAGGAGGTCCACGCCAGTACTCAGTACAAGGAGAGTCACATCTCTGCCTAACTGTGTGTGGGCGGGTGGACAAAATAAGCCAGTCTCATCTCAGTTACTTGGGTGTGATCCTGAAGACTCGGATGTGGATAGCAGAGTTGTTGCGGATGCGGGTTAGCGGTTCTCGTGTATCGGTTTCTGGTTCCAGCTCATCAACAAGCTCCACTGTGGAGGTATTGGCAGCCACCTGCAAGGACCCGAAGCTGCCTGCCTGCAGCTGTAGGGCAATGTTGATTGCGCGGTTGATAGCTAGGCCCAAGCCATGAATGTAGATCTCAGTGCATGCGTTCTGACCTCGTGCCCCTCCATCCAGCAGCTTCTGGCAGCGGGCCAGCTGGGCCTTAAAGTCAGTCTTCATGTTGACATAAATGTCATTGGGCCTCCGGGGCAGGCGGTGAGGCAGTCGCTTCCGAAGGGTGTACTCCACCGGATCCAGCTCAGCCTCGATGGCCCCGCGGGGCTCTCGGCTTTCTGCCATGCTGCGTGCCCTAGCACGAGAAAGGGACGAGATCAACGAGGGGTGACGAGACTTCACTTCCTTCCTGCCTATTTCCTGCCCAAAGGGTGTAGCCGGGAAGGGGTGCACTTGACGCTCCTCTTCCCTTCCAGTCTCAATCCCCGCCCACTCACCTCAAGCTGCTGTATCTCCCCCACCCGCAGTTCTTATTCATTCATCACATCGCTGCCAACCTCAGGCCCCTCCACCGCCCCGTTTCCCGGCTCTTCCGTGCCTACTCTCTCCGGTCCACAGTGGCCTCCACGCGCACGCGGCCCGCTCCCCTGACAGGCCACTCAAGCGTTGCGCTGACCGGCCCGAACAGAGGGCCCTGCCCGCGACCTTCGGGCCCAGGAAGGGAAGACAAGCGGCGCGCAACAATAACACCAGATCCAGGCGGCTCCGGACTCCAGCAAGAACTGCAGAGTGCGCACGCGCGCCGGTCCCTCCCAGGTCCGTGCGATCCACGAATCGTCTCCCGGCCTCCGTTCTCCCCGCCCCTTTCCTGAGCTCTTGCACAATCCCGCGCGGTGTTTGAGTAACGCGAGACTTCCGGGGACGTTGGAATCTACAACGTGTACTCCTCGGAGGCGGAGCGCGGAGGCACGGGACGAGTACCTAGTCGAAGTGGGAGGACCTAGAAGGAGGAGGGTCAACTTTCCTAGACCAGTCCAAGTTCCTGGCTCGCGGAGGGGTCCTGGGGGATGGGGATGGTGTGCGTGTGGGGGACGTGGAGGAGAAACGGCTATTCTACGGGTGTGGAAGATTTGGGCGAGGTCTTGCAAAGAGAGCAGGGAGGGCGGCGAGTTCAGGACAACGTCATAGCGAAGGACCCTGAAGGCAAGTCCAGACTCTCGCGTCCATCGCAGTTCCTCTGGCCAGAGGAGGCGTGGCAGATTTGGCAGAGCTGACCTCATGCCCAAGGTCCCTGTGGCCGAAAGACAGAGGTGGGCAACGAGTGGCGAGGTCTGGCCCTCGACGGAGGACAGCGTCCCGGGACTCCCCTGCAGTTCACGGATACCCGTCCCTCTCCCCTGCCTCTTGCCTGGCTGACCCCAGGCCAGCCCTTGGGGACCCAGGTTTCACTGTTCCTTGGGGGTACGCCGACCTACCACACCCCTCAACCACCACCCACCACTAGTTCTTCGGCCGTGGCTGCGACCCTGGAAGCGGGCACGTGCGCCCCCTAGCGGGCAGGGCGAGATGGCGCAGGGGTGGGGGGAGGGAGGTCCGTGACTCCTAAGGCCAGGTAGTGAGAGGTTTCCTCTGCCTAGGGAGGGGGTTCTCTGCCCAGATTGGTGCAGCTTCTGGAGAGTTCCCTTCAGAAATGCGTTAGCCCTGCATTGGGGACCTCAAACTACTCTCCGTTTGAGTTTTCCCATCACTCAAATGGGGATAATTCCTGTCTTGTCCCAGGGCTGTGAAGCCCAATATATATAACCTTGTAAACTGGAAGCCTATGTGTAAGTTGGCATTTTTGTGGCCCCCAGACTCCTGTCTAGATGCCTAGGGTGGAGTCTATAACCTCATATGACTGGAGGTTAGAAAGAGGTCAGGTTCCTGAGAATTTCTTGCAACACTATTTAAATCTCATAGTTCTTGTAGCTTCAGAGTCTTTCATTAACCACAAGTTTGGGGGGGGGGCTTTGAGAAAGGCTGGCTACAACCCTATACTGCCTCAGAAGTGACATCTCAGCTGAGTTTTTTGGTTTTTTTAAAAGATTTTATTGGGGAATTAGGGGAGGGGAACAGCGCTGGGGAATCAGGGAATGGGAACAGACAAGTTGCTGTCCTCTTGTTACTGAGTCTAGTTGTGGAGGACATCGCCTCACTTGCCCATGCTGGCACCATCATTGCGCTCTTCCCGGGTGAGACGGCCACTCATAGCAGTACACAGTAGCTCATGCCAGCTGCCAGCCGCTCATGCTGGCTGCCAGCCAATCACTGTAGCTCATGGCAGCCCACTGCAGCCCTGCTGCAGCCTACGCTGTCGCCAGAGACCCAGGACAGCCCAGCTGCAGGTCAAGCTGCTGTTCACCATCTTAGCTGTAGAGGGCGCAGCATCACTGGCCCTCATGTGGGAGCCGAACCAAGGCCCTGCTGCCCAGAGCCAGCACTCCCAAGCCAACTTTTTTTTTTTTTTAAGATTTTTATTGGGGAATTGGGGGAAGGGGAACAGACAAGTTGCTGTCCCTTTTGTTCTTCGATCTAGTTGTGGAGGATGTTGCTTCACTGGCCCAAGTTGGCACCATCATTGCGCTCTTCCCAGGCGAGGCACATCAGTGGCCGGCTTCTGGACGGCCGCTCACTGCGGCTGCTGGCCGCTCACGCTGGCTGCTGGCTACACACGGTAGCCCATGGCAACCCACTGCCACAGGGGCTGCAGCCTACGCCGTCACCAGCGACTCACGGCAGCCCAGCTCCAGGTTGAGCTGTTGTTCAGCATCTTAGCTGTAGAGGGCAGTGTCACTGGCCCTCATATGTGGGATCCGAACCGGTGCCCTCTGGCATCCCAAGCCAGTTCTTAACCATCACGCCACTTGGCCGGCCCCCAAGCCAACTCTTAACCAGCGCGTCCCATGGCCGGCCTTCAGCTGAGTTTTAATGGATAAACAGGGGTCCAGGGAACCAAGGAGTATTCTGGAAACACTGAATAATATTTTTACAACAAGGGAAGCATAACCTAAGCTTCCATCTCAAGGAATTAGAAAAAGAATAGCCAAAACCAAAAAGATGGGAAGAAATAATAAAGAGTAGGAATCAATGAAATTGAACATAGAAAAACAATAAAGAAACTCAAAGCAAAAGCTGGTTCTTTGAAAAGATAGATAAAATTGATTTAGCAAGACTGGCAAAAAAGAGAGGACAAGAGAAAGAAGACTCAAATTATGATTATCAGAAATGAAGGGATAGCACTAAAGAGCCTATACACTAAAAAATACTAAGAGAATAATACAGACAAGTTTACATACTTAAATTTCACAACTTGCATAAAATGGATCAGTTCCTAGAAAACCACAACCAAACTCATCCAAGATGAAATAGATAATCTGAATAGTCCTGTAACTATTAAAGTAAATAACAGCTTTTAAAAAAACCTTTAGAAAAAGAAATATCTAGGCCTAGGTGGTTTCACTGGTGAATTCTACCAGATGGAGAAATAGCAAATGCTACACAATCTCTTCCATCAAACAGTAGGAAAGAATGTTTTCCAACCAATTTTATGAGGTCAAAACCAAATACAATACAAAAGAAGAAAACTACAGACTGATACCTCTCATGAATAAAGAGGCAAAAATCCTCAACAAAATATTAGCAAATTTAATCCAGCAGTATAGTAGTTCCTCTTTATCATCAATTTCACTTTCCACGGTTTTAGTTATGTGATCAACTGCAGTCTGAAAATATTACATGGAATATTTCAGAAATAAACAATTCATAAGTTTTAAATTACACGTCATTCTGAATAGTGTGATGAAATCTTGCCTTCCTGTTCCGTCCCTTGAGGGATGTGAATCATCTCTTTGTCCAGCATATCCACAATATATACACTATCCACCCATTAGTTACTTAGTAGCCATCTTGGTAATTAGATCAGCTGTCAAGGTACTGCAGTGCTCGTGTTCAAGTAACTTACTTTACTTAATGACTTGAAAGAGCAAGAGTAGTGATGCTGGCAATTCAGATATGCCAAAGAGAACCTGTAAAGTGCTTCCTTTAAGTGAAAAAGTATGTATGTATGTATGTATGTATGTATGTATGTATGTATGTATAGAAAAAACATAGTATATACAGGGTTCAGTAATATCCGTGGTTTTGGGTATTATTGAGGGTGTTGCAATGCATCCCCCACAGATGAGGGAATACTGTATATAAAAATAATTATCACCATGACTAAGTAGAGTTGACTTCAAAGATTGTTCAGTATAAGAAAGCAAATCAGTATTATCTACCATATTAACAGTCTAACAAAGAAAATTCACATGATATCAAATTGATGCAGAAGAAGTAATATAATTTCACAGCCATTTATGATAAAAAAAATAGAAGGAACATCTTCAATCTGATAAAGAGAATCTACAAAAAACCTGCAGCTACCATTATACTTAATGGTGAAAGACTGGCCACCTTTCTTTTAAAATCAGGAATAAGGCAAGAATGTCTTCTCTCACCAACCACTCATTGTTGGAAGTCCCAGATAGCGCAATAAGGCAAGAAAAGGATACAGATTGTATTTTTATATGGGAATAAACAATTGGATGCAAATTTAAAATATAATACCATATAATACAATCACCCCAGAGATGGGGGGAGGTGGGAGAAATATTTATGTATAAATCTAATAAAATATGTATAAAATCTGTATGTTGAAAACTACAAAATGCTGATGAGACCAAAGAAGATCTAAGTAAATAAAAGATAGACAATGTCCATGTATTAGAAGATTCAACATAGTAAAAGATACAAATTCTCTCCTAATCTCTAGCTTTAATGCAATTCCTATGAAAATCCCAGCAAAAATTTTTTCAGATACAAACAAGTTTATTATAAAATTGATATAGAAAGGCATGGAAAGTTAAAGCAATTTTGAGAGAAAAAAAAAAAAGAATCACATTACCTGATCTTCTGTTTTTTTAAGCTGAGCCATCCTGCCACCAGTTGGCAGTTCAGCAGCTGCTCAGCTCGGGCTGGGAATCGAACCGCTGTTGCTCAGAGCTCAAACTCTTGAGTGAGCTCTTAACCAACTGAGACACTCAGCCGGCCCTCACATTACCTGATCTTAACTTACTATATAAACACAATATCAAGACGTGTGGTAACTGCCAAGGGATAGACAGAAAAATCAATAAAATGGAATGGAGGACCCAGAAATAGATTCACACAAGTACAGCCAGCTGATTTTTGCAACTGATGCAAAAGCACTTGAATGGGGAATGAATAAGTCTTTTCAGCAAGTGGTGCTAAAGCAAGTGGACACTAGACAAAGAACTAAACCTCAGCCCTATGCAAAAAATTAACACAAAATGGATAGTAAACCTAAACATAAAATGTAAACTATAAAACTTTTAGAGGAAAACATCTTCATGACATAAGGTCAGGTAAAGAGTTCATAGACACAACTCCAAAAGCACAATCCATTAGAGAAAATAAAATTGATAAATTATACTTCATCAAAATTAAAAACTTTTACTCTGTGAAAAACCGCAACAGGATGAAAAAAGAAGCCACAGGCTGGGAGAAAACTTTTGCAAATCATTTATCTGACAAAGAACTTCTACCCAGACTATATAAAAAACTCTCTAAACTCAAGAGTTGGGCGGGCTGAGTGGCTTGTTGGTTAAGAGTTGGCTTGGGAGCACGAGCTCTGAGCAGCAGGGCCGCCGGTTCGGATCCCACATATGAGGGCCAGTGACACTGCGCCCTCTACAGCTAAGATGGTGAACAACAGCTCGAC